GTCTGACGCGTCTGCCTCCGCGACCCGGAAGGAGAAGCGGCGATGGAAGATGAAGATGAAGATGAAGATGGATAAGCGAATTTTTACGCAAACCACACCAACCTATCAACTTCTATTTACACACACCACACAGCCATGAAAGCAGAGTTTCTTCAAACATTATATACCTCAGGAGCATACAGTATGCAGCCATACCTTTCACTCCAATTTCTTACCGTCGAACTGGAGAAAAATCTGTTTCTAAGACTTTCATTCACTGGCAGCTCAGAAGAATGGACTGGAAATTGAAAGATGCGAAACTCAGAGGAAACTATATTAAACGGAGAAGACTTCCGAATTTGCCCTTCCCGGTCATCTAATGCCAACAGAATCTAAGGGCAAGAACACAACGCTTCATGACTGAGGATGGTGCAATCGCGGTCTGCTGATCCCCAAACAAGCTTGGCTATCCCCTATATACGAAGCAAAAAGAATTCTCAAAAGCGAGAGAATATCGGGATAACTTATCGGATAAAGTGCTCGTTCGGCGAAACTTACATTGGAGAAACCGACATGAAACTGAGGAACCGATTCGGCGAACATATAGCTTGTTCCAGCAGAGAAGACAAGAAAGTGGCCCTGTTGTTGAACGCAGCATACTAAATAACCAATTTATAAAGTGGTGTGCAAGCAGCATCGTTCACATAGAAACCAAATAGTGGAAAGAAAGGCTATGGAGCAGTCACGGTGTAGCGGAGAAAAGCAAAATCAACATGCAGGAATAAACTTGTAAAATCGGCCAAACATGGCTTTTCCTGCTGTATAATTAAACTATGAATAATTGTGTGATATTTGAACTCATATTATTCGTTATAAATTGATCGCCAAACTCCTGCTAGCTTGCACAAAAACCCAATTCGTTCAAAGATGCGTCAGGACACAGTGCGGAACCAAAACTGAGTTAGCCATCCAAAAGAATTGGGGGGGGGGCAAGTAGTACAGGTTCTGCCCTTTTCACAAATGACTTTGTACTTGCGATGCAAGATCATGCGAATTTTGCTCCGGTTTTGATGATGGTTGCGCACTCCTTGAATTTGAACTAAATTATTTGAATAGCAACACGAAATGATGTGTTTTATTAAGCTAATATCTGTAGGCTTTACCGCAAGAAATGACAGTACCGAAATTCAACTGGAAATTCATTTGAAGAACACGTACCCTTGATAAATCAGGGGGCACTACGATAAATTACGGGCACTTTGAAAAATAAATTGATCGAAAATACACCTATCTTAATATAGAGCATTGGAAAAAAAATTCTTTACAAGGTCAGGTGTTCAGGGTTGATTTAGCAGCAGTGGTAACCAAGTGCTGACTCACGATGAAGTAATACATTGAGTGGTAACCATACTGACTCACGATGAAGTAATACATTGTGGTATATCGTTGTAGTAGAACGTGATATGGCTTTATGCTCTTAACTATCGTCGCTTCAATTGACAGAATTGTTCGTTCACATTTACACATATTTCCATGTTGATTCATCTCAGCGATTAACTCTGAGCTGGTAAAACTCACTGTTCCTGTTGTAAATCTGACTACACAGCAACCCGTACACCGAATCTGTAGAGCTTGGATCAAAGTAGAGGAGTGTCAATTGAGCAGTGGCTTAATATCCAGCTCAATGAAACATCATTGGTGACAAAGGGTGGTACAAAAGTATGCGAACATCGATTTTTGTCAGAAACATGTCACATTCTTTGCAGAGGATTTAAGTTATTTGGGACCATATTACTCGAAAATGTTGAATAGCACAAACCGGAGGATTATAAGGAAGGTATGAGACAATTAAAAGCGAAATTCCGTGAAGACGCACTGACCTTCCTGGAAATATAAGTATCTTCGTTTGCGGTGAAATAATTTTTGTATTTTTCTGAGTTTGTATAACAACCTCGGGAGTTGCAAGTCAAGAACGGAACTTCATCGTCTGGATAACGCAACTAAGCACCTTAATTCCATATTCTTTTCGACTGAAAGCCACTCAGTGCCGGAATTTGTAATTTGGTTTACACTTCCTGTTACCATGTAAGCCACGACGTACTGTAGCAATAAAACGTGTGAAAACGAATTCAATAAACAAATATTTATTCGAAAGCAGAATCAATAAACAAATAAAATGTTTGAAACTTTCAAATGTACCAACGTAGCCGCTGGCGAAGTAAAATATCCGGGGTCGCGGATAAAACATCC